TCTCCGTTTCCATTTTCATTCCTTCTTCCCAGCAGTTCAGTAGGAACGTTGGTGGAGCATTAGTCTTCTTACAGAGAAATGGGAGTGACTTAAACATTCGGGATAGGGGAAAGAAGGGGAAGCTCTGGGTCCTAGGGGAAGGCAGGGCTGAGCATGGGCAGGGAGAAGAGGAAGATGGGGAGAGGTTTTCAAAATTCAGATTTGCTTTCTAAATTTAAGGCTGACAGGCCTTACTGTGTCTTAGAAGGCAGAAAGAGCGTGAAGGGTAAGCAGGATGCAGTAGAGCTGCTGTGAGGAGAGCTGATGCTGTGGTGCAGAGGAGGGAGCTGAGCTAATGACAGAGGGTAAAAAATGTCCTCAAGTGCTGCTTATACAGACTTTTCTTTCTGCTACTCTCCATCCGATGTGGGGAGAGATTATAACAGTTGAACCACAACACTCAGTGGGATCTGGCAGGTAAAAGGGCCTTTCCAGAGGCTGAGGAATTCTTAACGGTGTATCCAACCCCATCCCAAGGGATGTGGTCCTCCCCTCTGCATGGAAGAGGCAGAAAGGCAAAAGCGGATGAGGGGATGTTTAATATTTGCAAAACGCTGTCAGAATTCCCTGAGGTGGAAGTGTGAAATGCCCCAGGTGGCCTTCGGAAAGGAAGAGCAGTGTTTCATGTGGACTTCGAGAGAGGAAGAGGATTTGGCTCCAGTGGGGAAATGGGGCAGCTGCAGCTTTAAGAACAAATAGCTTTGTGTGCAGCTCTTCTTGCTCGCATCTGCATTTTGGTGTATAATTTGAACATTTCACAAGAGTGCTTTCAGATGGTCCTGTGAATGTTTTATGAGCTGTTAAGAAGTGGAGTGTGTATAAATGAAAGTCTGCAGCCGCCACTGTGTGGGGAGGGCACGGGTGCCTATTTTGGGCTGACAGAGTGATGTTCAACGAACGTCTTGTATTCACGAGGCCAGCAGCTGCTCATCACTGGTGCTTAACTGCTTACCCACCACCTCTCTCCTACAAGCATCGCTCCCAGGTTTAATGCAGCTTTGTTCTCATTTCCGCCACTGACTGCGTGCAGACGTGCACAAAAGTAGCAGACATGCTGATGTGGAAAGGGTCGGTCTGAGGGTGAGAGCCTCTGCATTGTGGATACCTGTACCTGAGCCTCTCTCCTGGGGTGATGGTCACTGGAAAAGAATGGGCTCCTATCGATCATAACCCATCTGACTTATTTTACATGTCTTTCAAAGGGTATGAATTAATGGCCTGCTGGGACTGCTTTCCCCTCCTGTACTAGGAGGGGAGCCTGCAGTGACTTGCTCTGATTTAGATGTAGATGTCTGAATTTGGTCAGCATTCATCACCTGAGACATTTCAACAGTTTCCAAGCATTTATACTCTCACAAGTGACTTGCTAGACAACTCACACACTGTGCAGTCAGGGATATGTGTGTTACGCCCAGCTACCTGTGAGCTGCAAGGAGGTGGTAGTGCTTTTCTATAGGTGGGTTCTGTAGTGTAAAACATAACGACTTTGCTACAGAATTAGTGGAGAGAAGTGTAACAAAACAGCTATAAGGAACAGGGAACTACTTACATCATCTGGATGCAGAATGCAGAAATTGCTTCACTTTCACAGATTTCCATTACTTGCTCCAGTCTGCCTTATCTTTTTCTATTCCTGCCTCTGATCCCTTATCTTTCTGTCTCCTCTTGTCAAATTTTTCAGCTCCTGAGGCACGAGAGGCTTCCCTGAAGCTGCTGCCACCAGGAAAAATGTTTTCTGTCTCTTCACCACCTAAGTAGCAGCAGAAAATATCTTTTTCTCCCTTAACTTCTCTCCCTCTTTGCTGTGTGTTTTCCTTTGCTGTAACCAAGGAGCGTACCTTACAACATATTGTAGGGGATGATTGGGTGGAAGACATTCTGCCAAACAAAATGAAGCTGATGATGAAGCTTGGAGAAGGATGCTGCTAACAATCCCCACCCCTCCCCCCCCACCTCATTTTGGAGGGATGTTGAACTGTAGCTGATAGTGAGAAGTGAGAGCCTTGCCTTGCAATGTTTGCAAACCACGTGTAGAGCAGCCATCCACAATGGAGCGTGCTTGGCCAGGCTTTGGTTTTTGCTGGATGGTAGCATTGAACAAAAGTGGTTTTGCTCCTTTGTATGAGGTGATGCGCACAAGCACAATGCAAGGATTGTATTTCCTTGAAGAATTTAAAGCACCATTTTTTTCAGTAATCACGTACTCTTCTGTTTCTCCCCCCTCCCCCCCAACCTCACCCCTCCCTTCTTGCCAATTGCAGGTACTACATGAGCCCCTGATTGACGAGGATCCCGTTTTCATTGCCACGTGCACGGAGAGGGAGCTGCGCAAGAGGAAAAAGAGGAAATTCAGTCTCTGGGTTCGGCAGTGCTCATCCACTGGTTTCATCTGCCAGGTGGGTTTTACCTCTTTGGATGTCTCGATTCAGTTCCAGCAGGGCCTTAAATGTATTGCAGGACCAAAGGTAACAGTCACTTCTCTTCATTGCCTTGCTGGAGGCTACAATCTGAATGCAGCAGGCCTCTGACTCCCTCAGATACTAGATCTGACGGATGGTGATGACAAGTTCCTGATGCTCTGTTTGCTGCATGATTTAACTGAGGGTGCCTGTCTCTAATACTGTCCATCTGGCTGTCAGCCCTAAGCTAATTAAATTGAAATGGAGTTAAAAGGTCTGTCTGTTTGTATGTCCTAAGTTTATCTAAATGTCTAGGTACTGTGACTTCTGTCATTTTTAATGAGTCAGCTTCTCTCTAAACTGCATCTGTGATAGCCAGGGGTGTCCAGTAGACTAAATCAATACGGTATCAAGATGTCCATTTTTCTGTGAGAAACATATTAACGGGGTTTCCTATTACATCTCTTTTCACACCTCTCCTTCTCTACCAAAGTAATAAAATCTGATGTGACTTCAAGGTGAGGTAAGAGCTTGAGTGGGAGATGTGTTAAAGGGTTTGTTTTTAGTGTTGTAAAGCATTGGGGACAACTTTTCAAATTCTCAGATTCCCCAATTGCTGGTGTATTTTCAGAGCACTTGAAAAATCTGTCCATTTATGTTGATACCTAGAGGTGAGGGGGCAGATATTTTCTGATGTTTCTTTTTCTCAAGAGCTTCTGTGAAAACATGGTGTCCTGCATGTTTCAGAGCAGTGGTTTGGAGGTGCAGGTAGGACGTGTACACTGCCTGTTCAGGCTGAATGCACGTCAAAACTGCAGGGCCTGTGGATTTGCTGCAGTTGAACATTTGTTCGCAGTAAAATTTGATCTGTGAATCACTGTGACTGAGTAACTATGCAAGAAAAGAGGCTCACTAGGAACAGGGGTTTGCATTTTCAGCAATGCTATTCACTCTAAGAAGAGAATTAGGATCATACAACTTCCATCCAGGTTTTAAAGCAGTTGTTTTGTCCGATACAAAATAGATTCACCTTGTAAAGCATCCTTGGAAATTTCCGCTCTCAAGGCTTTTGGAAAGTCATTTGCTACACAGAGGCAGTGTCCTTAATCTCCAAGGTGAACTCCACCAGTCCCACATGCAGCTTATTACTGAAGCGTAATGAGTACAGCGAGCACAAAGTTTGCTGATCTCTTTTGCCATGCTTCCCCCAAACAACTGCCACCAAACTAATAAGTCTTCAGACATGCCAGAGGTTTCCGACTCTGAGCTATAATTATGTTGCCCCCCCGTCCTGTCCATTGAGAGAGTAAATTAATGGAATGTCAAATTAAACAGAATAGATGCTCAGCACCACCCTAATCCTCCTGCTCCACTAATGAATTAGATACTCATGCTTCACTTGCATCCAGATGACGTCCAGGATTATCTTACCAGTCGCCTTCTATTTTCATTCCATGGCTTGGCTGTAATTATCATCATGCTAAAATGATTGAGTGAGACAGACCTTAGGGCAGGGTGAAAAAGAATATACAGGAACATGAACGTTCATGCTAAAATGGAAAAACCTAGTCTGGGGAGGATGGGGATCTTCAACTATGATATGCTTGAAATGCTACATTCAGTTATGTGTCACACGTACGAGGGATCTTGCAGAATCCAAAGCGCTTACTTGGTGGTTGTTTGGTTTATTTACTGTATTAAAAGAGGGGTGTTTTTTCTGTGTTTAATGTATGGAGAGAATTGTTCTAAACAAGAAGAAAATCCAATATTTTCCCCCTTCAGGTGCACACCTTCCCCTCCATCTCTTGTGAAACTGCCATCATGAAAGAAAGACTTGTTGCCTGATAGTTAAGGACTGACTGGTCTATCACCTGTCTGCTGTCAGAAAAACCTTACAGCACCCACTTGGAAATATGCAGAAATTCTATAATACTGTCTGCATTAATTCCCTCCCTCGTTGTTTCCACATGATGACATCGAGGTCATTTTATTCAGGATAAAATATGACTACACTTCATACATCAGGCTAATTCAGTTTCAAAAGTCTGAATAATATATATCTATAAAAAGGTGAGGCAGCCCAGGCAGAAGAGGGAAGTGAGCTACATATGACTGGCTTTCAGGAATGGAAGGAACCTCAAGAGGTCTGTAAATGCTCCTGGCCAAAAGCAAGGTCCTCTAAACCTGAATGATGAGCCTGATGTTAAAAAAAAAAAATCTCAATTTGAGGACATCCCAGTTTTCCCAGTGATCTGCTTTTCCTACAATGAAGAGAGTTCATTGGTTTGTTTGCCTAATGTTAAATTGATATCAGTGTTTTGAAGCCACATGCTGAGCTACTCTGTGAACAACTCCTGGTTGGCAGCTCACAGGGCAGTTGTTAATGTTAGGAGTCTTAGCTGTTTGTCTCCCCAGATTCCTCTGTCTGCTTGTTCTCATGAACAAAACTCTGAATCACTTTTTTGGGTGTGAGTAAATACTTCTCTTTGATGGCTTATCATTTGATGTTTTAAGCAAATGGTGTTTGGTTAAAAATCCAGCCCAATAAGCCATTCATGGAACAGAAGTAGCATAAAAATGAAATACTGCTTGTGCATGTAAGAAGGTGCATAGGCTTATGTATGCATAATGTAAATAATGTATATGTATTTGACTACTTTTCTATCTTCTGTAATACAGATAACCTGACTCCACCCTGACAGTTAAGTCTCTGTTTTAAGCTGGATGCACAATTTCAGATCATATCTCTGCTTCAGAATTTCTCAAGCAAAGCATCTTGTTGCAGTGAATAGCTTTGTTGCTGAATATCTTTTCACAGTCAGCTGGCCAAGTGGGAACATGCAGGAAGGACACATCATTCAAACCAAGTAAATATATGTCTACAGCAGCTGGGAACATGAACAAAACCTTTCAGAGGGTTAGAAGGGCTCCAGGAGAGCTGACTTTGGGAAAGTAGGCTGCAAAACTGCCCTGATACTGTTGCCTTTTTCATCCATCCTTGATGCTGGACATCAAGGTGGCAGCAGCTGCTGCTGCAGGAGGGGGCTTGCGCCTTCTCGTTTCTTTCTTTCTAATTCAATGAGAGCAGCAAACTCAGCTTGCAGGACCTCAGGTGTCCTGCTCTGCTCCATCTTCTCTTTGCTTTCCTCATTTCC